GCCTTGTCCTCAGAGGCCCAGAGGGAAGGAGCTGCCCAGCCAAGCTGTGGTGGGACCTGCCGCCTACACCGGAGGCAGACGCAGGACGGCTTCCGGCCCAGCAGCCTCGGTGCTGCTCCCGGTGCGGCCGGATCTGAGTCCAGCTGCCGAGGGGCCGGGGCTCTGATCCCCAGGCCGGTTTTTTGGAGCTCAGGGGCGGCCGGGCGCCGCTCTGTCCCACGTGTGTGGCTGGAGGAACGCCGTGGGCGGGGCGTGGCCACCGGGCACGGGCTCCTGGGAGTTTGAGAGGGACAGTGTCGTCGGGACTCCAGGCGGCTTCACCAGGTCTGGGCCCTTGATCTCACTTTACCTTAGTGTTTGGTGTTACTCCTCACCCAGGGGTATTTCCCACTGGTTTTTAGAGAGAGTGGAAGGGGGGCCAGAGAGAGAGAGACATGGATGTGAGAGAGACACACCGACTGGTGGCCTCGCGCACACGCCCGACCAGGCCCGGGATCGAGCCTGCAGCCAAGGACGTGCCCTGGGCCGGAACCAAACCTGAGACAGTCGTCCATGGGCTGACGCTCTATCCACTGAGAAGCACGGGTCAGGGCCAAATGGCCTTTTATTTTTAACGTAATCGCCTCTTTAAAAGCTCCATCTCCAAATGCATCACAGTGAGGGTTCCCACGGCAGCTCATTCTAAACCATGCCCCGTTAGTGATGCCTTCGCACCCTGTTTGTTTGAATCTCGGCAAACGTGGGAGTCTCTGCTCTCGCTGCCCCCAAACCGCCCTTCCCCGCGTCTCCTCCTGCGAAGTCCCCTCTCTGCACATCGGCGGGGACGAGGTCAAGGTCACCCTGCTGACCTGGGTCCCCCGGGACCTGGGCTCAGCCCTCCACAGCCCCGTTCCCCAGGGGTCCCATGGGTGAGCAGCCCTGCCCAGACCCAGGGCACGTGAGGAGGAGGGACCCGTTTGCCTGGAAGGGGACTGAGGCGGAGCACAGGGAGTGGGAACCGAGTGACCCCGTCCCGGGCTCGAGGGCCTCCGCCGCGGGCCACGCAGTCTATGCCGTGCCAGGCTCAACAACAGCCCCGGGTTCTGTGAGGAAGGAAACAGGCCCGAGTTCCCAGCCGTCTGGGCAGAGGGGCCGCCTGCCTGCAGGATGGGCCAGGGGCCCGCGTCCATCCTCCCCGCGCCCGCACCTCTCACTCGCAGCGCGACCCACCCCGGCGCTGCCACCGGAATCTTACGTCGGACGTGACCCCGCTGCCCGGTGGCTCTCTCCTGCCTCTGTCGTCATCCCTGCAGCCGGCCCCAGCGTCACGGGTGGCTTTGCTGTCCCTGCCTTAGGGACGGGCCATCGGGGTGCGGATGCTGCTCCGACGGGCGCGCCATCTGGGCCGGGGCCACCGACAGGGTGACCCGCCGCAGAGGGGAAGCTGGTGACCGGTTCTGCGGAAGTAGAGGCAGAGAGAGAAGCACGTGCAGGTCCTGCCGCTGCAAACCCACCCTCTTGCGGGTCACATCCACCCTCCTGCAAAAGCGTGAGTTGGAAGTGGAAAACCTGTATCTCAGGGACACGCCACCCCGTGGACCCGGGACAGAGGCACAAGCGCTCACACTTACAAACGAACACGTGGGCGCTGTTACAACGTATCCAGGGGGACAGGCAGCCCTGCCCGCCGCGGACTGAAGGCCCCGGGTTCGATTCCGTCAAGCACACGGACCTTGGTGGCAGGTTCCCTGGCCCTGGTCAGGGTGTGTGCAGGAGGCAACCAGTCGACGTGTCTCTCTCACAGTGTTGTTTCTCTCTGTCTCTCCCTGTCCCTTCCACTCTCTAAAAATCAACAGAAAATGCCCTCGGTTGAGGGGGGAGAAAAGGAAAAGGAATGAGGCAGAACCAGGCCCGGTTCTCCTTCTGCTTTTGTTGAACCCGACACGGATTCCACTCTCTCTCTGAGCCCTGGACCGTCCTGGTCTGGGGCCGGTGTGGGCAGCCTCGCAGACAGCATCTCCTGCCCGGTGGCCGGCGCGGTGGACCCGCCGGGTGCGCTGTCCGGTGGGTCGGCAGCGTGTCTGCTGAGGGCGTGGACAGCCGTGCCTGGAGGCGTGGTGGCGGCGAGTGGGCAGAGAATGGCGCCCGAGGTGCGCTCGGGGGCGCTCCGGCGCCGTCCTGAACGTCCCCACGGTCCGCATACACACCGGCCACCCCGAGAGGCAGCGGTGACGGGCGGTGTCCCCAGCCAGGGAATGGAGACCAGAGGAGGCGCGGGGGCCCCTGAGGGAGGGCGGGTGCCCCCACACGCCTGAGCCGAAACCAAGCAAACACGTTTACGCGGGACGTTTTTCTCGATGTGCTGAGGGGCTCTGCTGCTACCCAGACAAGCTAAAAGGGGCTCCTATTTTTTATCGCTCTCGGGCTTTTCTCCATTCCTTAAGCAGCCAGTGTCTCTCCGCAGCGTCATGAAATTTTACCAACGTTGGTGACACTTTCTAAACACGGAAACGGACGAGGTGACGGACGTTTCCAACACCCGCCGTCTTTTTTTTAAAAATATATTTTATTAATTTTCTATGGAGACGAAGGGAGAGGGATAGAGAGTTAGAAACATCGATGAGAGAGAAACACCGATCAGCTGCCTCCTGCACATCTCCCTACTTGGGGATGTGCCCGCAACCAAGGTCCGTGCCCTTGACCGGAATCAAACCTGGGACCCTTCAGTCCGCAGGCCGACGCTCTATCCACAGAGCCACACCGGCCAGGGCTGCACTGAACTGTTACCAGGGAATGTGTCACCGCGCTTGCCCGCTGCTGCTGCTCAGGGTCCTTTGTAGATTTAGCGACTGTGGGAGACCCCAGCCCTGTGGTGCGGGCGAGGCTTGATGCTAGAGCTTGTGTGGCTCAGTGGCTGAGCATCGACCTGTGACCCAGGAGGTCACAGCTCGATTCCCAGTCAGGGCACAGGCCCGGGTTGCCGGCTCGATCCCCAGTGTGGGGCGTGCAGGAGGCAGCCCATCCATGATTCTCTCTCATGATGTTTCCATCTCTCTCTCCCTCTCCTTTCCTCTCTGAAATAAAAATATATATATAATAAAAGAGAGGACGTAAGAGGCCTTGCTTGTAGCACAGCACAGGGTCCTCTCCCCAGTCCGTCCATGCTGAGTGTTGGCAGGAGCTGGCGGGTGGCATGACCTTGAGATGCCCTTGGTGCCGCCTCCACCCAGCTGTGGGCTGACGCTCTCCCCGCCCCTGGGAGCTAGGGGGCCCCACGCTGTCCTGTCCCCGCAGCAGGAGGGCGGACCAGCGGGATGTGCTCACTGGGTGGGGGGCCGCGCTGTGGCAGGGAACAGGAGTGAGTGGGGCCCCCCAAAACGATGCCGTTTAGGCGTAAACATCTTGAGTCTGTATGTTGTTTAGAAATATGCACATCAACACCGTCGATGGCGTCGGGATTTGTGCAGAGGATTCGGAGTTCTGGGCGTGATCGAGCAGGCAGTCGCATGGCGCCCCCTGGGGGCGGTGAGGGGAAGGACAGGCCGTTGTGCTCAGGTTTTACTCCTAAGTAGCCAGGTGGATGTATTGCTATTCGTATGTGTTTTAAAACCACAGCTTTAGCGCTGCATAATGTTTCCATTATTTATTTATTATTTATTTTTAATCCTCACCCGAGGATATTTTCCCATTTATTTTTAGGGAGAGTGGAAGAGAGAGGGAAAGACGGAGAGAAACATCGATTGGTTGCCTTCCGCATGCGCCCTGACCTGGGCCCGGGCCGGGGTGGAGCCTGCCATCCTGCTACGTGCCCTTGACCGGGATCAAACCCGGCCCCTTCGGTTCTGTCCGACGCTCTGTCCACTGAGACAAACCAGCGAGGTTTCTAGTTTTTATCTCAGATAACCTATTAGCCACAAAATTGCTTCGAGGTGGTGCCCATGCTGCCAAAGAACCCGGGGTGGGTGGGTGTGGGGGGGAGGCGTTATCACAGATCCCCGTCCCGGTGGGAGGTGTGGCCTGGGCTTTCACCGTGACCATCACCCCGATGCGTGTTCCGGGGGACACACAGGTGCAGGAGGGCTGAGGTCTGGGACAGAAGCCACAGCCGGTGTCACCTGCTCCCCACCAGCCCTCTGCTCACCCCGCACACACCAGGCACCCTGAGGCCGGTGCTGGGCCTGGAGGGACACGGGGAATGAAAGCCACGACCCGCGGGCCTATGAGCAGCCCCCCCAGCATCACCGTGTAGGGCCTGGAGTCTCCCCACGGAGGTGCAGTTGACTAACTCATTGGCCGCTAGGGATGGACTCAACCTCCAGCCCTCTCCCCGCCTGGAGCGTGGGGAACGGGGCGCACAGCTCCACCTTCTCCCCAGGACCCGGCGTTCCCACGGCCGCCCCTCCTGAGCGAGGAGACACTCTCCTCACGGCCCAGACTCCAGGGGATTTAGGCACCGTGTGCAGGGACCAGGGACAAAGACCAAATATTTATTCTTTTTCAAATTATATACATGTTTTATTGACTTCAGAGAGGAAAGGAGAGAGAGAGAAACATCAATGATGAGAGAGAATCATGGACCGGCTGCCTCCTGCACGCCCCCACTGGGGATTGAGCCCACAATCGGGGCCTGTGCCCCGACCAGGAATTGAACCATGACCTCCTGGTTCAACCACTGAACCACATGGGCCAAATATTTATTCTTCCTTATACCTCCTGCCCTGGATGCTCAGAGCCAGGGCGGTGGGAGCACAAAGGCAGGGCCTGTGCGGAGGGCGGGGTAGGGGTCCCGGAGCAGGTGAGGTGCTGGGCCAGGTGGAGGGCACAGGGGCCGGGGGAGTCCCCTGAGAGGCCCTCTGAGCTGTCGCTCTCCCTGAACCAGGGTGAGGAAGCGCGCGGACCTGACCGGAGCCTTCAAGCTGGACCCCGTGTACCTGCGGCACGGCCACCAGGACTCCGGTGAGCGCCTCGCGGTCCGCGTCTGCCCCCAGGGCTGGGGCAGGGCTGTGCGCGGGCCTCGCACAGCTCAGCGTTTCCCGCAGGCCCTGGGCACCTGGGGTGGGAGGGGGCGGACTGACCGTGAACGGAGCAGTTAGGCCTGTGCCCCCA